GTGATTTTAAAAAAATAGTGGTATAGAATGTGATGAGTGTAAAACGTAGGATAGTGAAAAAAAAAAACTGTTATGAAATTCCTTTATATAAAGGAAGAAACAGGAGGGCTAAAAAAAAGAAAAAAAGATGACAAAAAAAGAAATTTTCTGAAGACTGTGCGTGTGTGCAGACGCGCAGAGAAGTAGAAATATATATATATATATATATATACATATACGCACAGACGTGCAGAGCAGTAGAAATATATATATATATATATATATATATATATATATAAAAGGAGGCTCTGCGTGTGTGCAGGTGGGTGTGCAGAGAAGCAAAAGAAAGAAAAAAAAAATCAAAAAGTGTGTGTGTGTGGGTGATAGGAAACGTGAAAGGAAAAAAAAAAAAAAACAGAAAAAGGTGCAGGTGTGTGTGCAGGAAAGTATACATATGTGATATCTCAAAACAACAAAATAAATACATATTTTGATATTTTGAATTTTTTTGCATTAATAGTTTTAATTTTTTGTGTTATAGTACATTTAAATCAAATCTTATATACACTTTAAAATATGAGATTGTAATTTATTCCTTAACACTCTCTATGAAGATAAATCTTATATACGCTTTATGATGTGAGATCTCTTATTTGTAACTCTTAATAAATTCTTAATGCACTCATAGTGTGTGGCTTCTCATTTTTATCACAATCTTATGATTATCACTGAGACTTAGATTTCATTTTAGAAATTTATATAAATTAAATGTGATTTTAAAAAAATTAAAGATTAAAAGTTTTCTAGATTATTAAGTACGATTATTTTGAGTACAATTCAAATAAAAAAACTCATATGAATTACACTTTAAAAATCAACATATGAAAAATTATGTGCATATAATTTATATAAAAATCGCACTGTACCCAAAAAAAAAAACAATCACAGAAGGAAGATATTAAAAAGAAGTGGGCAAACAACCGCCGCAAGCTCTTTTTCAAAGCATTAATATATATATACACACGTACCAAAGTTTACGTGCTCTGATGTTGCTCTATTTGTTGGCGGAGAAGCAACAATGTTCATAGATACTATATA